CCTCCAACCTACTAGTGAATAGAAAACCAAGAAACGGACCATAAAACGCATGTTGTTTTTTCATGCAATGAACGATTTCAGCAAGGCACTACTAGGAGCAAAGGACGCTACTAGGGGCTCCCGGCATCGCTAGAAAGGGAAGGGGTTCTCGCGAGCGGGTTGGAGCGACCTTGGCGCTTTGCCGCGGAACGCCTCGAGGATGATGACCTGCTTCCTCCTGGGTTCGGTTCGCCCAAAACGAGTCAGAAAGGAGATCGAAAGGGGAGCTCGCATGTGAGAGGATTTCCCATGTGCAGAATGTGTCACCAACAGGCACTATGAAGCTACTAGGAGCAAAGGGCATCGCTACTAGGAGCAAGGACGCTACTGGGGGCTCCTGGCCTTACTACTAGGAACAAGAAGCTACTAGGAACAAGTGCATCGCTTCTAGTAGCAAGTGCCTTACTAGTAGTAACAAGGACGCTACTAGGAACAAGAAGGCTACTATGAGTTCAACGAAGTCTCTTCGGGAACCAAGGCCGAACCCCTGGTCGGATGGCGGTCTAGGCCATGTGCTTAGAGACAGGAAGAGTCAAACAAAAAGATCCGAACAAGTGTAAGTTGCAAAGAGTAGCGTTGCAAAGAGTGTCAAAGGAACCAGAAAGAAAGGGAATGAATCCAAAAACGGAATGATGAAAGATCTAAATGTCGAAAGAAATGACGAGATTTAGAGTGGACTGTGGTTAGATCTCTTTGTTTCTTTCTTGGTCTCTTCTTGTTCTGTGTTCTTGAGGCTTTCTGGAATGGACGGGCATTTGGGCTGCGCTGTTGACGGTGGTCTTAGCCGTGGGAGCGGGTGGCTCTTGGTTCATTGCCCGACTGGAACTGGAGCCTCAAACAGCTTCGCAACTGCCACTCGGTCGAAAATCGAAAAGAAACCGCGAGCTCGGCTTCTTTCTTTGGGTGTTTCTGTTTTTGTTTTTTCATTGGTCTTTTGAAGGTCTTTTTCCTTAATGAAGTAGGTGCCTACTTGATTAAGGGCGACTAGTTAGCTTCTAGCAACTGCACGCTGGATAGTTCACGCTTCTTTGAGGACGCTCCCCCCGTCTTTAGGGCGGCAGGGGGAGCTTGCTTGAAGAAACGCTCGCACTAATACATCAGAACAAGAAGTCTTTTACCGTTGTGTTTTCTGCCATTCAAGAAAGTGTCGCATGCATTCCACGTGTGACTCAGCGTTCGAATTGTTCGCAGGTTGGATGTGCTCAAGCCATTGCTGAATGTATACCAGCTGCTATTTCTCGCGAGAGCAGGGACCGCCAAGAAAGAAGGACGTGTTTGAAAAAGAAAGAAAGGTCCTGCGGAGTCCTCCGTTTGAGTCTAAAAGTCTAAATGAGCAAGGAATCTTATTTGGGAAGTTTTCTTGCCGTGACAAAAAAGATGAGAACAAGAGCGGCTTTTCTTCCCCACCTGTCAGGTGGGGGCTCTAGGTTCTTTGCCTAGTCCTCGTCCAAATCCTACCACATCGTCATGTCGGGGGGTGGGTAGGGGCCGTAGCCATAGTATAAGTGTATGTTTGAGTGTAGGTAAGCTATGGTAAGCTACAAAGCTATGAAGCTGTCGAGGACACGGAAGGGTTCAGGCTCAGTGATTTGGCTCGTGTCGTGTCAAGTGTGTCCGCGCGCATCAGACCTGCCAAAGCGAGCACATGGACTTGTCAAGCACACAACTGCCAGAACACATGTGAGGGCATCGCTACGAACGGAGCAAGGACGCTACTAGGGGCTCCTGGCATCGCTACTAGTAACAAGGCCGCTAATTACTATGCATCAGTACATCAGCTGATATTCAGGATAGTCGGGCCATACATGATCGGTAAGAGTGCCTTTTGAAAGAGAAAATATCTGGCCTAGGTTCTTTTGGCGCAGTTCCCGAAGGCCGGGTGATTTGGTGGTTCTTAGCGATGGCCTCCGACCTAATAGCGATGGCCCTAGCTGCGTCTTTGCTCCTAGTAGCGATGCCAGGAGCCCCTAGCAGCGTCCCTAGCTCCTAGTAGCTTCTTGTTTCTAATAGCAAACATTGTTACTACTAGTAAGGCCCTTGCTACTAGTAGCGATGCACTTGTTCCTAGTAGCGTTTCTTGAATTCAGCATTTGTCGCTTCTCAGTGAACCGTCTCGGCAGCTTAAGACCTCCGATTGGCCTTATGCGGTTTGCCACTATCCTACGGAATTCATCTTGGCTCCCACGCTCCAAGCTCAGAAAACAAAGACACGAAGAAAACCTCCAACCTAATGGCTTCTAGCTACTAGTAGCTTCTTGTAACTCGTACTAATGGCCTCCAACCTAGCTTCTTGTTAGTAGCGATGCCCTTGTTACTACTGAACCCTTGGGTTCTTTCCATCTTGACTCCGAAAGATAAGGCGTATGGTCTTAAAACCCGAAGCTGGAGTAGATGCCCGGAACTCACTTCAGAAGAAAGACAGAGAAAAAGAAAGGTCCAAGGGTCTAGTTGAAACGAATGTGAAAGAGATGATCTTAAAGGGATTGAGATGTGTGTAGTGAAGGCCGATTTCTGCTTTGACATACGTACTTGTTTTGCTTTGTTTGTGGTTTTGTCAAGGTGTGAAAGAGTTGCTGTTGTTGTTTCTTAGAATACATCATTGCTTCTGTTGTTTTTTGAAAGAGCTTTTGTTCACCGGGTAGTTATGAGTTTTCTTGCTTTGTTTCACATTGAGACCCCCCGGGTTTGTTGGTCGCTTCGGAATCGTCGAGAATGAACTCATTGAGGTGTCACCTTTCGTGTGGTTGCTTTTCACATCTTTGGTGGCTGAGCTCCTCACAGGGTCCTTTGGCATTCTTCAGATGGTGAAGCGATGCGCTCAGAATGCAGACGCGCAGAACATGTTTTTGTGTGTTCATTTCAAGTGTGTGTTATTGTTTTTTGTTCGTTTTTGTTGATGTGTTCTATGTTTCAAGTGTTTTGCTGTCGTTTGATGACCTTTAGACCATGTTTTTCTTTCTTTTGGTTCATTCTAGCGAGTGCCTGAAAACAGTGCTATGTCATGTGCACGCAATGCATGTGAAAGCATAAGTGTGAGGGTAGCGCGCTGTGCAGGGATTCAGCTCGATCAAAGATCGGCGAACCCATGGTGAGGATTAGGCCAGAGTCTTGGATCGGTGAGGATGTGTTAGCTTTCACAAAAAGACAGACAAAATAACCGAATTAAGAAGAATAGCTTTCCACAAATTAAGAAGATCTTTTTGGACCTTTAGACCTTGCTGTGTTTCTTGTTCTTTCTTATTCATGTTTGTCATCGGTGTTTTCTCCCTTTCTTTCGTGTTCTTTGGACCCGTTGTTCGCTTTTGGTTGTCCGTTATTTGTGCTTGTTTGTTCCTTTCCTTTCTCTTGGTCTTGTTCTTCCTTGCTCAGGCCTGTAGCCCTTCATTTGGGCCTTTCTCTTAAGACCTGTAGGCCTCTCATGCTTTGGTTTTCTTTTGTTTTTTCCTTTGTCTTTCTCTTTCATGTTCCTTTCTTTCTTGTGTATTTCTTTAGGCATTGTCTCCTTTGTTCTCTAAACCTTTTCTTGCTGTTCCTTTTGGCCTTTGCAACTATCGTTTTCTGTAATTTTTAGACCTTTAGACCGGGTTGTTTTCTTGGCGTTCTTTGGGCCGAAGACAGATGTTCCTCGTTCTTTCACTGGCAAACTAGGCAATAGAAACAGCATTCTGTCAGATTATACCTCCTCACCCTGTTGCTATTACGTGGAGGCCATCGCTATTAGGTTGGAGGCCATTGCTTTCAGTTGTGTCGTCTTTTTTGTTTCCTTTTTGCAAGAAGTCTGTCTTCAGGCTTTTGCCACCTAGTTGGGTAAACGCATCTACCACGAAGACGGACTGTGATTCCCACTGCCCTCACGTGCAACGGGGTGTTTGGTGTTCCTCTATCACACCAAAGTCACCCAGTCAAACCTCGCTCAACAGAAAGTTGCTACTATGCCAATGAGAAAGAAGGAAAAATAAAGGGAAATAGACATGTTTTTTCACCAAAAAAATAAAAAGGAAACAAAAGGAAAGGCCACCTACTAGCGATGGGGTCTCTTGTTGACGGCCTTTCTGCCGATCGCCTTCCGCTCACTCCGAGGTAGGGATCGGCGGTCCGGCTCCGAACCAAAAAAGAGAGCGGAGGGAACCTACTCGGGACGATCGGAGGAGCCGTACTCTCATCCAGGACTCATCCACCTACCTAGCAAAAGGAATCTACTATAGCTTCCTGTTCCTAGTAAGGCCAGCACCCCGTTCGTAGCGATGCCCTTTGCTACTAGTAGCGATGCCCTTGTTCCTAATTATCTCTCATCCATCTAGTTCTCTTCTAAGAAGAGCTATCATTGACTTTAGGGTTGTGTTACTTGTTTCATGTTTGAATTTGCGAAAGACGGCATATAGTCACCCCAACAGCATGTCGCTTGACCTTCAACCGTTCTTATCTTGACCACATGCCATATGTAGTATAGCCATACTGTTCGGAGAACTGCCTTCTTGACATAGGGGTTGAAGCATGGCTGTCAGCTCACAATGCATTCTGAACATGGACACATGAAGCATACCAAGTGTGAGACGTACTTCATGTACCCATTCAGCTTACATCTCCAATCTCAGATGACTGGCTAGACCCTACATCTCCTAGTTTTCGGACCAATCACTTGGTATAGGAGCCCCCTAGTAGCGTCCTTGCTCCTAGTAGTAAGGCCAGGAGCCCCTAGTAACGTCCCTAGCCCTTCTTTTACACGCAACAAATCACCATGGAAAAACAGCGACGAAGCACGGCCGTCGGGCGGCTTTTGGTGCTTTCTGCCGTGGCCACTTGCACTTTCGAAGCGACCTTCACGGAGGGACTACGGAGCGCGAGTCGCACTTGGGCTGCAAAAGCGTGTCTTTTGGCCCTTTCGTTCTTTGTTTCTTTCAAAAGTAACGAACAACTTTATATTAGTCATGTCTATTTTTGGACGTGCTATAACTATAGTCATGTCTATAATATGTTTATCAATACACTTGTGCCTTTTTTGTTTTCGGACCTGTTTCCACAAAGGTTTTAGACTGAGTGCTTCTCGCCGCTCGCTTTCAAGTCTTTCTGCTTCGCAGGGCTTAGAGTTTGCCCAGGAACTGGTCGGAGACAATGAGCGGCAGCTCTTGTCGGAGTTCCGACGTTGTTACAGAGAAAATCCTTATCCAGAGAAGTTGAATTTGTTCTTTCCAAACGAAGAACGGATCATCTCGTTGCTCTATGCCTCGACGTCCTCCTATACGTCGTCCAGTTTTTTGAGCACCGTGGATCGCATCTTCCGACAACTTCATGCGTGGCCGTCCGCATGGCCTCTCTGTCGGAAGCTTTTGTCTCCAGAGCATCCCTGGTCAGAAGCCTATAGCAAGCAAATCATTGCTGAAGGTGCGACTGCCCAAAAAAAGGGATGCTATAAAAGGCTCGAAAAGGTAGGCCCAAGAGGTATAGCTAAGGTAGAAGAGGTACGTAATTAGTAGCTCTATTTGGTACAGGACGCTTCCATCAACTGGACGCAGGATATAGTTCACGCTTCTTCAAGGAAGCTAGATTAATTGAAAACTTAACTGTAGCGCGATGGCCTCCACCCTAGTAGCGATTTTGTTTGCGTGTTTTGTTCAGGTTTCTGGTCTCCCTTTGATTTCTTCACGGTGGATTTAAGCACGTTGCGGCCCTTACAGCGATATCCATTGGAAGAACTCCGGCAGCAGTCCTCAACAGGCTTTCGAGTCGTGGAACGTTGGCTGAAGAAATTGGAAGAAGAAGGGGAGACTGATGAAAAGCTACAAGGATTCTTGAAGAAGTTTCTGGAGCAAGACAAGATCAATTCGAAAGAACAAGTGATGCGTTTACGTCCTTTGGAGGATTTGCTGGAGTATTTGCTCTCAACTCTCGTCGATCGAATCTTCGAGATTTCGGACAGCGACGCGATGACGGCGATCGTCACGGCCCGAGACCTGCGACAACGGACCATTCTCCACGTGGCGGCCGAACAAGGCAACAGCATTTTGGCCGAACAGTTCTTACAATCCGTTGCAGAAGAGAACCGAAAAGACTTTGCCACTGCCAAAGATGCCGGAGGTGCGTGACCTCTACCACTGTTTCGATCTGTTTCGTGTGTGTGACGAGAGTGGTAGACTTCGTCTCCGCCGCGAGGCTACTCTGCCGGAGATCTAGCACTCTTAGCTGGATACACGTCGACGGCAGAGAAGATCCAGTCCCTAGGCGACATCCGGACACGAAAGAAACGACATGTTTTTTTTAACTCATGAAAAAGATTTCTCTGTGTTTTTGGTTGTAGGTGGTGCAGAGACAACTCCACCAGCAGCTTTGAAGTTCTTTCCTGCAGCCGAAGGCGAGGACTTGGAGACGGATTTCAGAGTTCGAGCAGAAAGATGAAAGAAGAAAGGGTCCAAAGAAAGAAGAAACATATTAATAAAAAACAACAAAAAAGCCTTAGAAAAAAGGAATCACCGACACTTTCTGTGTTTGTTTGAAATCAACGAAGACGAAGAAAACGACGGCCAGGGCACCCCAAGAGGTCGGACGATGGAGGTTGGAACGAAGAGCCAGGCGAAAGAGAGACGTGTGAAACGAAAAAACACGACACAAAGGATAGAGGTGAGGTATATATGCTATATATAGCTAGTACTAGTTTGCTCCAAGGAAGCTACTACATGCAGGATAGCTCGCGCGAATGATTGAGTTCTAAAGTGTCGTCGAAAAGATTGAAAGTTTCTTCTTCCTCTAGGTGTTCCACCCACGGTGGAATGGTTAAAGGAGTATTCCAAGACATCCAAGACATCGACATCTCAATCGTCCTCTCTCTGTGAGATCGATGCGATTTCGGTGGATCAATTCGATTGGACCGTCTTTCAGACACATTATGTGGCGCCACGGCGACCGTTGTTGATCAAGGGCGGTGTGAAGATGAGCGTCAGTGACCGAGTGAAGTTCACACGAGACGGTCTCCTACAGATCGCCGGAACAAGGCCCGTCCGGGCCTTCTCGACCCCCTACGAGGAGACGGAAGCGAAAGAGACGGAAACGGGTTCGTCGGGTTCGTCCGAAAGAGGAAGAGCCCCGTTCGTAGCTTCTTGTTACTACTAGTAAGGCACTTGTTACTAGTAGCGATGCGAGGAGCCCCTAGTAGCTTCTTGTTCCTAGTAAGAAGATAAGGAAGAGAGGATATTGGATATTTGGGAGATAGTTGCTATACTTATATGATGGTTGTTTTCTTGAAAAGATTAACTGCCCAGTGTTTTTGTTCCTTTTTTTTCCGGTGTGTGATCTTTTTTGATATCGACTCCCTGCGAGGACGACTTTCGAAATGTACCGGCTGTCGAGATGCCGCTACAAGACTATGTGAATTTCTTAGATCAAAGAGATCAAGAAAGCGACTTTGAGCGTTCTGAAAAGTTGAGCTACATTTTTGAACGTCTGAAAGACGATGAAGGGCCTTTGAGTTTCGCCCGAAGTCCTCCCAAGCTCTTCAAAGAGCACATCAAGCTGCGTGCTGCACAGTTCTCTCTCGGTGGTCAACTCATGGGCAGCACCTTGGCCTTTCAGAGAGGTGTACGGAACGACTTCGGAAAGGCAAAAACGGGAACGACGTCGGAACCCACGTGCTTTTTCTTCGGTTTTGGTGCGGTGAGAAGTGCATTGCTGCAGTTTTGAAGCGGTCAAGAGATGGTCAGTGTAGAGATGGAAAGTGGCGAGAAAGAATGGTTCAACACCGGCCAACGCTAGAGAGCGGCATGTTGAACTCTTTGCTTCTTCCGATGTGTTCTGAGCTCGTGGCATCTATGGTGGCGATTGATATAATTTAATGATACTTTAACCAGTTTCTGCTGTAAAAAGAGTTCTGCAAACTCTATTTTCGGCAGAACTGGAGACTTTCACCTTCGGATATGCCAAACACAACTTTGGTGAGGACACAACTTTGGGCGGTTGGGTTCACATTCCGAGGTCCATTGCATTATCACGTGGATGCGGCCGGTATCCTAAGAACAACCATGTGAGCATATTCAGAATCTGAAAAGGCTGAAGGGAGTGTTTGAGTTTGTCCATTCTTTGTCTATTATTCTTTTTTGTTGTACTCTTTTGCTTGTTTTCTTCCCCTCCTTTTTTCACTTTTTTCCTCCTTCCTGAGCCTCGTTTGGACTCGTTTTGGCCTCCGGTTTCAGTGAGGTGAATTCGTTGATCTACGGCCGGAAGCTTTGGTTTCTGAAGCCGCCCGCCGAGCAGGAGTTCCGCAAGACCGTCGTCTACGAGGAGAAAGAAGAGAGAGAGGAAGAGAAGATGAAAGAAAAGAGAGAGAGAGAGAGATAAAGGAAATGAGAAGAGAAAAAAGGACATGAGTTGAGCTGAAAAAGCAGGGCAAGAGAAATAGAGAACGAAATAGAGAAGCGGAAGTCGACGCTACAAAAGTTACAAAATGCACTCTTGTATAGTTCTAAGTGAAGAAAGTCAAAGGCACAAGTGAAAGCAAGAAACAGAAACGGTTGAAAGGCACAAGTTCAGGAAAATAGAAAGACTAATAACTTTTCGTTTCTGAACGACAGTGTTGTGTTCTTTTTCTTGAAAAACAGGCGGCTCGGTGCTTTGTTCCTGTTGGGACCCGATTTGGAGGACCTGGCAAAGAGCGGAGGTCCTCAGGGGCTCCGAGTGATCCAGGAGCAAGTGACTACTGCTACAGTACTGCTACCTACAAGCGTCCCTGTTACTCGTGGTAAGGCACTTGTTACTAGAAGCGATGCACTTGTTACTAATAGCTTCTTTGCTACAGTACTGCTACCTACTGGGGCGTGTCTTTCAATTTGACTGGAGCTACTAGTAGCGTCCTTGCTCCTAGTAGCGAGGCCAGGAGCCCCTAGTAGCGAACGTTTTTTCTACAACTGATTGAAGCAAACAGAGTCTTTTTACGGCTCTGCGGTATATTCTGAGCCAGAGCCTGGCACGTGCCGTGCTCGTTACAGATCTAGGAGGGCGGCGATTTGCTCTACGTGCCGCAGGATTGGGCACATGGTGCGCTTTGCCGCTTGTAACGCTTCGCTTTGTCCAGCGAAAACAAGATCAGAACAAGTCAGAGAAACAAGCTTCAGATTCTCCCGTCCTATGACAGAGTTCACCCCATAAGGTAAACCTTCAACCCACTAGCGACGGGCTCCCTCTCGAACATCGGTAAGGTTGCCTCACCCTAGTAGCGTCCTTGCTCCTAGTAGCGATGCCAGGAGCCCCTAGTAGCTTCTTGTTCCTAGTAGCGCGGCACTTGTTTCTACTAGCTTCTTGTTACTACTAGTAAGGCACTTGTTACTAGAAGCGATGCACTTGTTCCTAGTAGCGTCCTTGCTCCTAGTAAGTAGTAATGCCCTTTGTTACTAGTAGCGATGCCAGGAGCCCCGTTCGTAGCGTCCTTGCTCCTACCCACCCATGTCTCCGTGCTTCACGAAGCACGGGCGGGGCGACGTTTGTTCCTTCAGGACACGGGATCTCCTTCCCTTTCCCTTTCCCATGTTTCCCATTCATTTCTCCTGGGCCACCCATCGAGGAAAAGATTGGAAGTCGAATCCTGAATGTGTCCTATCGCCTATAGTATCGAACTATACGCCCCACCCCATCGTTGTAAAGCAATGGCCTTCAACCCATTTTGTATTACTGTAAAAAGAATGACAATGTGTTCTTTTTGTGAAAAAACAGAACCAAATGCTTGTTTTTCTTCCTTTTGTGCTTCCTCACGCCTGTCTCACCTTTTGCGCTGAGGCCTCAAGCAATGCATCGGCCTGGCTCACGAGTTCGACGTGGTCTTTCGTGACGCGGGACCCGTCTCCGTCGAGACGGTGAATGCTGGGCTCGGTGTGGCTCTCGCCGGCATTGCCTTCTTCTCCTTTGGGATCATCACCTGGTTTGTACAGCATGTTTAGGAGCAGCTTGGAGCAAAGCAGCCAAAGGCGAAACAAAAAAGTGGACCGTCTTCCATCTCATCCGCGCGGTTTCCGGTCCTTGCCCCCCCCCTTCAAATAATCGTTCGCCCCGATTGATTCTAGATGTCAGTGATTGCAGTGTCAGATCTCTGAGACACCACTTATTATTGTCTTCCTTCGTGACCTGTCTGTGGCTGCTTCCTTTTCTCAAGTGACGAGACGTCGACGTCGTTCGACGCGACGTCCGTCGTCTCGAGATGCCGATACTGAACCTGCCGATACTATGTCTTTGCTTTTTAGGGGCACAGAGCCTCACCAAGAAGGGGGATGTCAATGCCCAGTTGGGCAATGCCAATGCCAACCAGTTGGGCTACAACCCGGATGACGTTCCGACCGAAACGGCCTTGAAGGATTTCTCCGGCGATTGGCTGTTTCATGTGAGAACCACTTCTTGTAGCTTGGCGCAATCGTGAGAATTACCGCATGCAGGAGAGCTCACGGATAGCTCACGCTTGCACACAATGCGTTCCGAACATCTAGATTTGTAGGGAAACTGATTCATGTTCAGGTCATGGTGATGCCTTCGACAACGGTGCCAACAGCTACATCTCTCGAACATTTCTGCCCATCTTGAGCATTTGCAGTGTGGGATTGCTTTGTTTGTCCTGGAAGGAGAAAAGGGAGAAGGAGGTGTATCGACTCGATGAGAAGAATGAGAAGAATGAGGGTAGAAGTGAGGGTCTCCCGGACAGCCAAGCGGATGAAAGCAGCAACGCGGAAAGCCAAGGCGAGAGAAGCCAAAGGACGAGCCAAGAGAAGTCCAAACGTCTTTTCCATGTGGACTTTGCACGCATTTGTGCCGTGATGTGCGTGATCTTTGAGCATTCGGGCTCCTCGGCGGAAACGTCGATGTTGCTTCTAGACCTAGGCCCGGCCTACTAGGCCTCGGCATTGGTGAACAGTTGATGTTGCTTCTAGGGTGGAGGCCGCTACCGTTGCTGAGGTGGAGTCAGCTACACGCATCGAAACGTGGGCTTTGGACTGTGGTGGGCCCTACCCTATTTGTATGTGACGAGTGGCATGGCTTCGATGATGAGTAAAAGTAGCATCGTAGGCTACGTGATGCGCCTTCTCTTGGTCTTTACCGTGGGAACCTTGGCGAATCTCTTCGCCGACGCGGTGACCCACAGAGATTGGTCCCACGACTTTGGGAACACCATTTTTCAGATGCTCCTTGGATGAAGCACAAAGGACATTCCGCTTTGGACCTACTATTGGTTAGTATACATGTAGTTTGAGGTTCTTTTTTGTAACACGTTGTGCTGGAGAACTATTATGTGTTCAGAAAGGGGTGAGGGGGGGTGAGCAATATAGCAAAACCTTGCAACATGTTTTCGTATCAAAAACATGGAGAATCGCAATGCTGGGCAATGCACGTGCATAGTACCTGGCAGTGCACTTCGCACGAACCTCGCATGCAGTTCTTGATGTTATTGTTAATCATTAATTTTGTTGCATCCTTTTCTGGAAAGAAAAGAACACACCACATAAAAAGAGCCTAATAGCAATGGCCTCCAACCTAAGAGCGACCTTCTTTTCGTTTGAGGTTCTTCGTGGTGATGCTACTAGTAGCGTCCTTGCTCCGTTCGTAGCGATGCCCTTTGCTCCTAGTAGCTTCTTGTTCCTAGTAGTACGGCCAGGAGCCCCGTTCGTAGCGTCCTTGTTACTACTAGTAAGGCACTTGTTTCTAGTAGCGATGCACTTGTTCCTAGTAGCTTCTTGTTACTACTAGTAAGGCACTTGTTTCTAGTAGCTTCCTTCCTTGTTCGAGGTTCTTTGTGGTGATGCTTCTCATCATGGCGCCTTTGGCAGAGCCATTGCGCCAAGCCCTGCGCCAGCGCTCGAGAAGCGACGACGGTCCGAACCCGTTGACGAGTGGAGAAGAAGGCGAAAGCGCGGAGAAAGCGCGAAAGCGCGCGAACCCATTTTTCTGTGCCTTGTTTTTTCGATTCACAGATTGGATTCACAGCACAATGGACAACTGTCTGCCCGAATTTCGCAGGGACGGCGTGGAGTACCGGATGGACTTTTGCGTTTATGATGCTTTGGGGCACCATTTCCTGTGCTGCCTTAGCCTTCTTCGTGCGAGGATTCACGGGAGACTCCGAGATAGAAAGGACCTTTCAAGATGAAAAGGTCTCCAGGTGGATTCAGTTCAGGAAAAAAATATTGCTTATAAACACAGCGTTTCAAAAATTATACTGTATATTGCTTAAATATGTGTTCAAGAATCTAATTGTTATATTGTCTTCTTGTATTTGTTTTATTTTTTTCCTTTTGACCTTGTTATTTCCAGGTGGATTCAGTTCTATGCCCCGGTGCTTCGCCACACCCCGATCATTTTGGTTCACGTTGGAGGCGCAATTTGTCGGGTTTTTTGAAGCCTTACAAAGAACGCCACTAGGAACAAGGACGCTACTAGGGGCTCCTGGCATCGCTACTAGAAGCAAGGACGCTACTAGTAGCTCCTGGCATTACTACTAGGAACGAAGCTACTAGGTGGAGGCCATCGCTATTCGGTGGAGTCATTTACGTCGGTGTCATCACTTTTAGATCGGTGTTAAAAACACTGCTCGCCAGAGGTACTCTCTTTCTCAGCCTGTTGGCCACTCTGGTTTGCCATGACGACAACACTGGAGTGGTGGGCTGGATTCTGTTGGCATTCTCTTACTTGCAGATGATTGTGGTCCCTTGGGATCAGGATTCTTTCGCCCACCTGGTGAATTTGAACATCGTTGGCATGGTGACCTTTCAATGGTGACATGTCAAGAACGGTCGCAAAAAAAACATAAAGAAAGACGCATCCAACCGAACCTAATAGCGACGGCAGCGGCCTTTCGATGATACCATGTCCGAAAGGCCTAATTCACTTTCCTTTTAGGCTCAGGGCCTAGCCGGTATAGTATTAGTAACAAGAAGCTACGTTCGGGGCTCCTGGCCTTGCTACTAGGAGCGATCGGAGGCTACTAGGAGGTCTTTGAAGCCACTATAGATGTCTTTGTTTCAGAGATCGAGGCCTTTAGCGGGGAGCGCTATGATCGCCCGGCTGGTGAACGCCTACTGGCCATTTCTGCTGATGTTTCTTTGTTTGGATTCCATGCCGGACATGTGGGGTCGTTGCGATGTCCATTCGCCCTACTCCACCTGGGCTCCTCGGTGATAGCTCACGCTTGCGAAGAAAGAAAGCGAACGCACTGATTTAGTTCGTTCGATGTTCGCAGAGAAGCGGATGTGTTCTTGTTCTGAACTTTATGTGGCGATGTCAGGAGCGATTTCGCATGTTCTTGGGAGAGTTTACACTGGTGGTTTGCTTCATCGCTGGTGCTTTCACACCATCCGATCCCAAGAAAGTGACTCCGTGGCTGAATCTTTGGTCGCTCTATGCCTATTGTTTTCATGTGATGTGGTACCGGCTCTTTGGATCTCCATATGGAGCCATCATCACGTTTGCTTCCATTCCTCTCTTCTACTTCTTGCTGATGTCCGACAAATCGTCCAAACCGGACAGCGGCACGGATGGCGCGTGATCGGAAAAAAGGAGGAGAACCGCTTCGGATCGCTAGTAGGGCATGGAGCTTTGGAACCCAAGTCAAGGTTTCCTAGTAAGGCACTTGCTTCCTAGTAGCGATGCACTTGTTCCTAATAGCTTCTTATTCCTAGGGAAATTGTGTTGAACCTTCAGTTGTTTGGATATTGAAAAAGCCTTTAGGATGTTTTTTTGCGCGCAGTGACACCGGTGACAAAATTCAGAATTTGTTGCATCTCAGATCATCTCAGTTCTTGAGCGTCCTTTGTTTGTTTTCGATTCATCCGCAGGCATTAGAAAGGATCAGAGAGTGCTTGGTGAGCCTCGATGGCGCACCAATGCCTTCCATGCGGTATTTGTTATGTGTGATGTCGCTGTCTCTTTCTGAGACACAGCGTGTGATTCCTGACTGGCGACAAATTCCTGGAGATGTCAATTGGTTCACAGGCGATGGTGTCCCCAAAAAGTCGATGGTGTCGTTTTTTCAGAAGTCCAAGACGGTATTGTGCTGGAGGCCATCTCTAGGAGCAAGGACGCTACTAGGGGTTCCTGGCATCGCTACTCGAGAGCGATCGGACGCTACGAACGGGGCTCTTGGCCTTACTAGGAGCAAGAAGCATGGAGGCCTTCCGCCTAGTAGGTGGCCTTCCGCCTTGGCCTCCAGGTTGTGGCCTTGGGAACCGAGAGATTCGTGGTCCTATAGCAGCAGGGCTGGAGCAGAACAAGGCAGGAATGAGTACGGCATGAGATACAGTGGGAGTGTCCAACTCTTCAGCCGTTTCAACCTAACAATGGCCTCCCACCTAGCGATGGCCTCCAAGATCGATGGCGACAAACCTTTTGGCAAGAGCAATCAGAATGTGTAGATTTTTGAAGACAAGTTGCAAGAACGTTTCGTGCAAGGACCCGTTTTTGCTCACCAGCAAGCGCTTATAGTCAAAAGAAAGGAGCATAGACAAGAGGTCGCATGCCATGCCATTGCATGCAGTGTCGAAGTTCGTCACCAGGTGCGGAAGCATGTGGCCGTTTGCCTCAGTCACTGTGGCCCGCCCAGTTGCACGCTGAAAGATGCAGCGCCTTTGGCGAGAAAAGACCGAACAAGATTGTGTAAGTAAGCAAGTAAGATGTAAGTAAAGGGCATCGCTACTAGTGACAAAGGGCATCGCTACTAGGAGCAAGGACACTACTAGGGGCTTTCAGAAAGGCCCGGTTGACGGACGCTACGATCGGGGCTCCTGGCATCGCTACCAGGGACCCGAACACTTGCATCAACGCGCGTCCGTCTCGGTGGCTTCCGCGGTGTCCGTGTTTCGAGATGTGTTGCATCACGTTTTGAGAAACCAATAAATTGTATTTGTAATGTTATTGGTTCTTTTTTATGTCGAGTCATAGTTCTTTCTTGCTCTCCTTCTGCTTTTAAGCTATACAGTACAACATTGTACGGTACATAAACAACATGACCACTATAGTCTTGACCTCAAAAAATACGTTCACTTCACTGTTGCAGGCACTGAATCATCAACTTCAAAGCAACACCTCGCAACCATCCAAACCAACAGTTACAGTTGCAGAAAGTATCAAATATCCCGGCAAGAGACCCCAAACAGTGTGTGTAAGGTCCATAAGCAGAAAGTGTAGAGATCTAGACGCATTGGGGTCCAGAGAGGTGATGGTGGTGATGAAGGTGGGGATCGTGGTGACGGTGGCGGTGGTGGTGAGTGAGTGTGAGTGTGAGTGAGAGTGAAGGCGGGTGTGAGTGAGTGTGTGTGAGAGTGGGAGAGTGAGTGAGTGTGTGGGGCGCCTGCCACGAAATCGGCACTTCTGTGCCTGCCACGAACTCTGCACATCGAGGTTCACAAAGCGCTGCGCCTGCCACGAAATCTGCAAACGAGCCACATGTCCAAAACTCACGACTGCACCTGTCACGAAATCAGAGCTCGTCGAAGATCACCACCATGTCCAAAGTATTGTACCTGCCACGAAAACTGCACTTCGAAGAAAAACAGCTCCGATCCCTTGCACTTGTCACGAAAAGTCGACTTTGGAGCACCAAACACGAGGTTTCCCTTGTGCCTGCCACGAAAAGTGACCACCATGTACGAAAATGCGCACGGCGCTACAACGAGAGCGCAGTCGCTAGAAGCACCCGCCGCGGCCACCCAGACTTTGCGAGCCTGCGCAGTCGAAATCCACTTCGAGGATTTCGAGAGGCATGAATGCGCTGTAAATAGCAGCGAATTAGCCGGACACGGCCGTGCGGCACACCTATCTAAGCACACCTATTCTACACTTACCGTAAGAACATGTAAGAACCCCTAGTGTGTCCACACTGTTTGGGGAAGTAGTGCGTTTGTATTGGCGATGGTCAAGACGGGCTCTGTGTGCTAAAGACCAAAGATGCGGTAAGGGGGCTAAGAAAGAAGTCATGGTTTTCTTGCGTTCTTGCATGTCAGATGTCATCGCTAGTAGGTTGGAGGCCATCGCTAGCTACTAGGGTGGAGGCCATCGCTCTTAGGTTGGAAGCCATGGCTAGGAAGAAAAAGAGAAGAAATAAGAAAGTAAATAGTAAAATATTTTAGATGTTGGAAGTTGGAAGCCTCGAAGGCTTCGCACCAACCTCTCGCAGCCGCACCAGGAAACGGATTGCGCCTGCTTACGATGCACGATGTTTTGCATGTCAAGAGGGTCCTATGTGGATGCTTGCCTTAACAATCACACCCGTGACCTGTGCTTGGACTACCAGAAGTACATCAACAGCGGGGGGTCCCAGCCAAACCTTGAAGTCAAAGAATAAATAAAACAAGGCCTTCTTGAAGTCGTGTTTGTCGACTTTGTGGTTTTTCTTTTAAAAAAACTCAGAACATTCCACACTTTTCGAGAGAGTTGGCCACCTTGTGGAGGTACTGAGCTATGTGAAGTTGACTGCGATGCTGCAGCAGGTTTACCATTCAGCGTTTTTCTTACGTTTGGTTTGCTCTGTAGCTCGTTTCTTTTCGCATAGCGAGCAGCGAAGCTCTGCCGCGTCGAGCGTTTCACGTTTCACAGACCTGCGCCACAGGTGCGCAAAGGGTGACACGCAAACCAGAGGGTGGAAAACATATGGAAAACACAGGTTCAGAAGCAGAGAAGAATGAAGGGCATGACACAAAACGTGGGATGTTTTTGAAAATTTACAAAATTTTGTCGTTTCTCAGCCTTTGTATCCACCCCGCTTGTGGGCCGATGCGAAAGAATAGACATAACAAGGTCCAAAAAGTAGGAAAGTAGAAAGTCGAAACAAGAGAAATGTCCAAAGGTCCAAAGACAAATGACAAGAATCCAAAAAAGATGAACATGTCAGTAAAGAGATGTTGAAGGTCCATGCGCAGAAAAGTCATTCCAAGAAGGAACATAGGAAAAAACATTCCTGCAAGCACCACAGATGCAGTCACTTGTGACGCATCAACTCGAGTTGCTATCGAGTTGCTTGTTTTCATTTGGGTACCTTGCCCCATGTAGCTCTTCAAATGTACGCGATAGCAGGTTGTGCGCTGCTTGTCCAGATGTCCGCGTGTAACCTTCACGAGAAGTCCTCGAAGACTCGTTTCTGTCCTTTTTGCAAACCGTTTTTTCTTCATGTTTTTCTCCTGCCGTTCTTTCGCCCTTTCTTTGTCCGGACATTTTAGCGGTTGCATCAACGCTGCGCTAGTCGATAGTGAAGCAGACATGCCAAGACTAGTTGAAGCTGCTTGGTGCTCACATCAGCGAGACTGATGTTGTCACTTTTGAGTAATTCGACTCATCACTAAACTACAGCTGCAGTTTCATCACTGCGTTCCTCACTTTTTGTGTTGTAGTTAAGGCCATCTCAAGTATTCGGGTGCAGGCCCTCGCTTTTGTGTTCAAACTCGTCCTCCTTGTGGCTTCGAGCAGTCGGACGGCGTCGGACGACGGACGGCGATGGCGCTCTCCGTCCGGACCTCGGTGAAGAACGGAAGAACGGAAGGGCTCCTGGCATCGCTAATGTGCGGTCCTGATTAGTAAATAGGCCCCCCCCTCAAACAAACAGGGGGTCTTCTATAATAAACTATCACCAAAACAAATCTGGATTCCTGTGAGAATTCCTTTTTGTAATTGATTGTAGTATTAATTTTCCTTTCATAGATTGTATTCAGCTTCCTTTCTCAGGTGCTTTGTAATTGTTCTAATCATTGGCCTCAGGAGCTAAGTAAAGGGAGAATCCACGCGCATTTTTCCAGTGGAAAAAACTTTTCACAATTTATTGTCGAGGATCAGGTGCCTTCCTGGTCTACTACCTTGAAAATTTGTTTAGGAGCAATGTTTTATAAAGGGTTTAATTGGGGAATTGGTGGTTTTGGTCAGCTGTCAGTTTTGAAGAAACCTAGAGAAAGCTATGTCAGCTAATGAATCAAATTCAAACCCTTATTAATTGGGTTTCCAATTGAAAAATTTAGGGCCCAAAACCTTTTAAGCATTATAGAGGAACCATTTTTCAAACAGGGGGGTCTGAATAAATTTGGAAAAATTAGCATTCTAGAGGACCTATTTACTAATCAGGCTCCAACATTACTGGGAGCAAGGACGCTACTAGGGGCTCCTGGCATCGCTACTAGGGGCTCCTGGCCTTACTACCAGGAGCAAGGACGCTACTAGGGCTCTTGGCCTTACTGCTAGGAACAAGGACGCTACTAGGGGCTCCTGGCCTTACTACTAGGAACAAGGACGCTACTAGGGGCTCCTGGCCTTACTACTAGGAACAAGGACGCTACTAGGGGCTCCTGGCCTTACTACCAGGAGCAAGGACGCTACT